TCAAAAAATTTAAAATATAAGATCTCTTAACTTTTTTTTTGGTAAAAATATTTGAAGTAATTTCAACTTCACGTATAATTCATAGACATAAATATTACATTTATCATCATTTTAAGTTTATTTTGCAAATTTATACAACAAAACTTTAAACTTCAATCATTCAATAAATGCAATTTTTTGGAAAAAAAATAAAAAGTCAAATATATTTGCATATTGTTCATATTGTTTAAATCTTCTTTCAAGAGAGACAATTATTTGATTAATAATACAATTAAAATAATTAATTCTAAAAGATTTTTCAGCACATTATTCATTCACATTGTTCATATTCTAATCAAATTAATGTTGTCTTATAATTTGACTCTTTCGTTCAAAATATTGATCAATTTGCATACTATTTGTAATTTCTTTAGCAACTTCAATAACTTAAAAAAAATTAGTTTTATCTACATTCCAAAAAAATAAATAAATTAAACTTTTAATATTTTCAATGACAGCATTAACAAGTATATCTTTAAATTGTAATTTTTTTGCTAACTAAATAACAACATACAACAAATAATATCAAATAACAATAGCTACCAAAAATTCAAAATCACCAATTTTATTACTCCCCCCTTTCACATGTAATCTCACGGTTTTCATTTTATCCGTCTCACGTCTCATGTCACTTTTCTTTAATCACATTTTAAACTTTTTAATTTATAATTTTTTTTAATTTTAATTATGTTAATTACATATTTTAATCTTAATTTATGATTATGTATATTGCACAATAATTATTTTACCAATATAATTTTTAATTATTTACTAATTACCTCTCCTAAATTTTTATGTCTATAATAACTATGACATTATATCTTTGACGGAGAGAGTTTTAGCTAAAAATTTAGCTCTACTTTTTACTTTCGAATCCTTATAATTCTTAGCAACTTTAAGAACACTTCTTTTAAATCTAAAATTTGAAATCTGATTGCTTTTACATTATTAACACAGACTCTCCCAACATACAGTAGACAATAGATGTATATATTCTTTCACATTATCGCATAAATTCTGTCAAAGTCTTTATGAAATTTTCAAATATAGTGTAAATATGTTGAATAACACACAGAAATAACTAACTTTTACAAAATTACTGATCATATCATACAATATTACATTAAGACTATGGACACCACAAGGAGTGTTAAAAGGTCTAGAATTCAAATTTATTTATTTGTTTATTTTGCATTTCTTGATATATATATATTTTTTTCATTCGATCTATTCTCATAACTTTGTTCACACACATTATCTATATCAATTTTAAGAATATCTAACTTATGTAGAAAAAAAAATATATATATATATATATATAAAATCTATTTACAATTGTGTCATCAATATTTAAAAATCCTAAAAATGATTCTTATATACTACACAATTAGAAGAAACATTCCCTTGTCTTAAAATTAAGGATATCTGCTTTTGGTGGTTAATATCAGGAATACAACTAAATATAACAGAAAAAATACTTAGCATTCATTATTTTTTTAACGATTTCATATTTAAATGCATCTCCAAGTAAAAGAATAAACTTATTATGAATATTTTGACCAAAGGTAATGAATATTAATCTCATCACTAGTAATACGGCGAACATTCTCTTGCACAATAAGATTAAATTCAAATATCATTTAAACTAATCTCCAAAAATTTCAATTGCTATTTTGATGTAGTTTCTCATTAGTACTACAAAATGCTATATTTTGCTTTTCAAAAAATTTTACAATATGAATAATTCTTAACAAGTCATTTTTCCAATGCTCATTTTCTTTTTGAAAATGCATTTGAGCCACTTCGTAATATTATTTTTTTTAAAAGCTTTTTATGAAAATTATACCACATAGTTATATTTTGAATATGTTCTATGTCACTTTCGTACTCTTTAATTCTAATAGAAATATATGTTCAATCATTAAAACTATTATTTTCTAATTGATCTTTTACACACTTCTTCTTAAATACTTTACAACAAAAGATAAAAAATTCTATCAAGTTCTTTTGAACATACAAGTCAATTTCTGTCATATTTTCCTCCCATTTGGCAAAACTACGGTGTAAAATGAAGTTGAAATCTTTCTTCCAAATTTATATTTAGAATGTTTTATAATAGACAAATCTCTCTCAAACTCCTTTATTGCTAAGAATTTATAATTTGAGAATCTAAGTCATTCCAATTTCTTGGATAAAAAATCTTAATAGAATGAAAAAAATCTCGATTTAGCAATGTCAAAATTATCATTATTTTGACTACTAGTCATCAAATTATCATCATCAACAGGCTTAACATTAGTCAAATACTATCACCTAAGTCAATTTTCTCATTTACGTGTTTATCATTATTTTCAAATGTAATATTTTCATTAACATGCATATTAATTTTAACATTATTAGCATCATTAAAACCACCCGACCATAATACTATTTTAATTTTTAGTAGAACTTTGTGGCTCTTTACTTAAAAATTTAACAAGTGTTTATCTTTGAGATTGAATTAACTCATCTTTTTTTTTTCTTTTTTTTTTTATAATTTTTTCAAATTTCGATTCATACTTTCTTTTAAGAGACATATTTAGACAAGTTTGAAACTATTGAAAAAACTAAAATAAATTAAACACGAAAATATTTGTCAAAAAATTGTAACAATAAAAGATGAATGATCAATACAATCTGATTGAATTTAGGCTTTTGTTAACAGTCAACTACAAATACGTCTTTTTCTTTTACTGCAAATCGTCAAAACTCAATTCACCAATTTGTTGTCGTGTAATTCTTACGTGAAAATTTGTAAGTAGTGGTAATGAGGAGAAGATTTGTCATGGATATGATCAATTCCATGACTTCTAATCTCAATTCAAACGTAGAATCAATGCTACGAAATCGAATAAAAGAACCAGCGGATAGTTCGGATTCAATTGACGAATACTCCTCTCGAGCATACACCTTCATAAATTTATATGAGTTGTTTGAGGCTTGCAAATACTTCTTCCATCTCTTGCGTAAGTTGCATTTCAAAGACTCAAATATTAACCCTCTCGGTTGATTGAAAATCACTCAAATGGATTGATGAAATCTCTCCAAAAAGAAACAAAACTTCTTCAAAGTGGTAGTTAATTTCTGGAATGTATATAATGGATGTTCAACAAGTAGAATATAAGGAATACATGCTAAGAATGCTTAATCTAATACATGCCTTACATCTAATCTAAACATCAACGGCTCTCAACCTCTAAACAAACTAATGTCTTTGATCGGGTACGAGTTGGCAGTTGGTTCGTCGATATTCGGGTTCGGGTCACCCGATACCATGTCGAGATTGCAGTCTAAAACCATATTTATTCTAATTGAAAAAAAAATAGTATTTAATTATCAACGATCAACTCCTTGAAAGTATAGTAAAATTGGAATATACAGAGATTTAAAATTGGGTAGGATATAAATTTGAAAATGATTTATTAGTTGAAGAAATTTAATACATTATATACATATTTAATGATGATCCCAAGTCAGAAAGAAATTCATTTGGTTTTCGTGTTAAAAGAATACTACATTTAGTAAAGATTACAAATCTATTTATAGTCCTTTTATTTTTCAATAAATAATATGTTTGTAATCATTAACATATATATATATATATATATTAATAGGTTCCCCATCAATTGGGAGTCCTATTGATTTGCTCTGGAGGTACATGTTAATAGCATACTTTATATAAAATATTAACAAAAAGCATAAATTTAATATCAATATAGTTTAAATGCAACATTGAATTGATAACACATAACAATAGGCATAGAATATCCTATTATTGACTCCACAAAGAGGACATATGTTAATAATCATGCCTATACATACAAACTTTCAGCACATCATAACAATTTACACAATACATATTGTAATAATTGAAATCATATGCTAATAGTCTATACTTTATATGCTTAGTAGGGCTAATAAGAACTCTATACATTCCGTCTTTCAAATATATGAAAAGAAAATGTAATAATTTATTATATATATACTAGAACTCATTGACGCGCTACGCTACGCTACACAGATGATATGTAATGTGAGAAGTTTGACAATTGATATGTATCGTTGGAAATATAATACAATTCATTAAAAATATATAGATGTTTTCATTAAGAATTTGTATATATATAACTATTTAGGAAAATATTCTTATTTTGTTTCACGTAACAACAATTCTTCGAGGAATTGTATATAAACAATTTAAGGGAACTAATAAAGTACAATACAAATTCATATAAATCTGTCATAAATATAATTGATTTACCTCTCATACGATGCATTCAGCTTCAAAACAACCTCTCTATAATTCGTGCATAAATTTTCATGGACAAGAGACAATATGTTAGTGGTCTTATTGGTTTGGAAGGTTCTTAAAAATACGTTTAAGAAAAAAGAAAACAAAACAAAACAAAACAAGAAATGCATACTTTTATAACTATGTTACATAAATTTAACATTTAAAGTGAATAATCAATTGTTGGCTTGATATGTATTTATCATGAATCCAAATCACTACAAAAAAAATATATATATTCAATTGTCGCGGATATATTTGTCGCGGAAAGTATATTATTCTGCGACAAATTTAATAAATTGTCACGGAAATATCGCAAAATTAGTTCCGCGCTAGATTCTCCGTGACAATGGATATTGTCGCGGAAGGTTACAACAATTTGTTGCAACTTTCCGCTGACAAAATTCCAAAACAAATTGTTGCAAATCAAAACAAATTATTGCCGAGACAATTTAGATAGTAAAATTAAATATTTTTAAAATAGTAAAAGAAATTTTAAAATAAAATATTCACATAAATATATTTAAATAGTAAAATAAAAAATACATTCAAATCAATTTTAATGTCAAATGAATACATTACAAGGAAAACAATATTATACAAAATTTTTAATAATATTGAGTAGGCGGAATAGTTTCATCATCGTCGTTTTCATATTCATCATCCTCCTCATTGCGATAATACTGTCGACTTCCACTCACTTCACCGGTACGACTTCCACTTCCACTCCCACTTTCCTCTCGACGCATTTGACAAGGATCAAATGGACTAGCCATTCGGGGATAATATGGCTCTGGTTCGTGAGTAATAGGATTATTGAAATTTTCAAAGTGCATATGAAGGAATTTTCGTCACCTACAAAAAAAAAATAAATTAAAAATTAGAATCTAAAGTTTAAAATAAAATTTATCAATAATATTGAAAGAAAAAAAAAAGAAGAAGACAAACTTGATCTAATTTTTGATTATTCGCTCGCTACTCTTCCTTAATCTTCAAATGTTCATCCATTGATACACTTAAAAAAGATGCAGATGCAACGAACAGGAAAATCAAAGTTGAACCTTTGCTATCTTCCCTCTAGAACCAAGTCTCGGGACACGACCTTTTGTGTTGAAACCACCAAAGGCACTAACAAGTTTCTTTGGATTCAATTTAGAAGTAGAGCTACATTCAGAAAATTTTTGTAGCTTCGCCTTAAAATTAAAAATTTTGAAACATTATATTATATTATTCAATATAAAAATATATATATTCTAAATAAATTATACCCCAAGAGCTGCAACATCTTGAGTAGGTACTACATTTTTTTTTTACTAAAACATTGTTTCGGTTGGTGTGCGTCCTAATTCGTCATTCTGCAAAATAAATATCATTAAATATATATAATACAATAATTTATATTTACAAACTATAATAAATTGAATATTACCATAATCTTTCGAATACGACCAGCAGATCGAGCGCCCCCACGGTATTGATTTGCAACAGCTGTCGGATTTTTTTTCTATTTTCTTTATTTCGTTCAACCATATCCTGAAATTCTTTAGAACCTCATTGCTCCTTCATTTTATCCCATTTTTCAAGAGAAATCTATTTCGGACATACATTATTTTTTCTAGCATAGCCTAAATTTTTCCTTAAGAACTCATTAACTTTATTTAAAAATAAATTACGAATTTCAGATTCGTACTGAGGTTCCGAACTATAAAAATGCAGTTGAAATTTAATAGTTAAAATCAATTCAATAATATATAGTTAATAAAACAAACTCAATACTAATATACCTTAAATATTTCAAACCATTTGTCTCTTTGGCTATCAGCTACTTGTTTCATAAAAATCCATGATTCAGAAAATTATATGTCCAATCAAACTTGGAATTGAACTATAAAAAAAAATTGCATTTTATTAGAATACATATTTTAAATGTATAATAAAAAAATTAAATAATATCATTAAAGCTTCAACATAATATAAAAACTCACTCAAAAGTACTCGTTGTAATCATGTCCTATCATCTGTAATTCCCCCATCACCATTTTGATTTTCTTCACGATTATTACTAGTCATTCCACATCCAATTGATGATATCGGACAATAGGGGTGGTTGATTGTCCATCGAAAAAATTTATATTTTCTGCAGTATAAAAATAAAAATAATTATACTAAAGCATAAAACAAATAAAAAATTTATAACATAAAATATAGTATATTTAAATCCAACACAAATGCTTAAACAAACTAATTATAACAATTATATATAAGTTTCTCAAATTTATAATTCAATCCAAAATTTCTAGGAAAAAACAGTGAAACAAATAATATTTTTTTAATGTAAACCTCTAGAAAAAATAATAAAACAAATAATATTTCTAAAAAAGAAATGCACATATCTGAACAGTGAAGCACATATCCTGCACAGTGAAAAAGCAGTGAAATAAAATTTAAATAAATATATATTTTATTGTTTACATTAAAACAACACATCCAAAACTTATTTGTCATTCAAAAATTTTCTAATCCATAACACCCCATAACACAAACAAACGCACCCTAGTTTATAAAATAATTAATAAGCGAAAAAAATTCATTCTAATTTTTTCTAATTTTTTTATTGACATAGTATTTCAGAATGAATATCTTTTATTATGGCTTCAATCACATTCATTGGTTTATTATGGCTTCCAACTTATTTTAGACTTCACCAATTATTTCAATTCTCCAATGTTTAGCAATAGCATCAAATTGTTTGTAGTTCAAATATAACTTTGGCTAACTAAGGTTCAATGTTGTTATAGTAACAACTACATGCTAAAATATTGCATCATTGAAAGCTTCAAAGCATATATTCCATATAAATCCCACCATGAACAAATTGAAATTCTAGTATTACTTTTAAATTCCAGATATGGTTTTGACTCTTCCCTCGTTGTCAAACAACAAATGACTTAAAAAATATTTAAGCAGTCAAAAGTATACACATTTTCTAGTTCATTACTTTTAACAATAACATGAATCAATTTTTATTCTAGCACAATTCATCAAACAAAGGTTAATGGCAAACATATCACAAAACTGATTTTAAAATTAGATATTTTAAAACATACCGAAATATGAGCGAATGTGCGATTGAAGAGAAAGAAGAATGTGTTGCGGCGTTGATTGCGGAGCAACCGCTGCTGCTGAAGAGGAAGACAAAGGTTATGGTTGTGGCGTTGATTAGGCGGGAATGAAGAAGCGGTAGAAGCAGCGGCAGTTTACAGGGTTATGCGTCAAACCAGAATAAGAAGAGGAAGTCCGTTGGTGAAAGTATTGGATGAGTTGGGATGAAGAAGAGTGAGCAGCGTAATTGCGAAGAAGAGCGGGAGATCGCAAAATGATTTTTACAAGGGGCAGGATGAAATCTTCAATTCAGATCTGAAGACAGAATGACAAGTGCTGATTAGGGTTTTCATATTTTAATTAAAATAATAATAATAATAATAATAATAATAATAATAATAACATATAGATATAAATATAAGAAAACAGAAAGAAAAACTTTGTGTTTGAAAAAATTCATTGATTATTTTAAGAAATAAAATATTTACTAATTCGGTTTTATTTACTAATTAAGTTGATTGTTTTAATAAATAAAATATTTACTTTTTATTTATCAATTGATTATTTTAATAAATAAAATATTTATTAATTCAGTTTTATTTACTAATTTTATTGATTATTTTAATAAATAAAATATTACTAATTAATAGTTTTGTGCAAGTATATTTGTATTTTTATAGGTAATAAATATATTAATTTTTATTATGTAAAAATTTTAATAGGAATATTTTTAATTTAAATTACTAAATTTTTACTTATATAATATATTAATATTTATAATATTTAATTTATTGTGATTTTTTCAATAAAAAAAATAATTGATTAAAATCACAATATTAAAAAATAAATCCCACATAAATTAATCATCGAAGTGATATTCATTGTTTATATCATCATTTACTTAAATCGCTTGATTATCAACTAGTTTCAATTGCTCATTCGTATTAGTCCAGACCGACATTCCCCCGTCTTGGTCAGAATGAAAAATGGAAAAAATGTAAAGTTGAATACTACATATATTATTGAAAATTGAGCCATAAGTAAAATTGAAAATAAATTTTTTTGGATAAAAAAAATTATTGATGACTTAAATTTTTGTTGATTTTTTTTTAAAAAAAATAGAAGAACTATCACATAACTTTTAATAAATTATTTAATATACTATATTTTCAATGACTAAGTTTATGCACTATAATTATTAAAAAATACTAATATTTATTTTTAAGGTTATATCAGAATGATAAATTTATAATTTTTTTTATTTTGTAATTTAATATCTAAATTATAATACTTAAACATTATTAAATATTTTATTTTAAAAATAACTATATTAAACGTTATAAAAATTTGTTGCGAGCATCCGCAAAAAGTTGAAGGCAGAATGACTTTGGGTTTTTGTTACTGAAATAATTGTGAGCTCATGTGTTCCTAAGTTGTAGACACTGAATAAAGTTTAGATGGAATGTTCAAATATTAAAAGCCAATAACATATTTGTTAAAATATATATATATATATATATCAAAAATATATAAAATTTTAAAAATTATTAATAATATTCATTTAAAAGATTAGAAAAAATATTATTTTTTTAATATATATTTTTGGAAATAATATCTTATTCAAAAAATTTATGCTAACTAAAATGAAAATTAAAGATATTGTCGGACTACAAATTAAAATTATAAATAAACTATTATCGCGGCAAACCGCAACAATATGTAAGATATTTTATTAAAATTATTGTCGCAGACAATCAGAACAATGCATTGTAAAGTAAAAAATATTTTTTTATTATTTAAATTATTGTTGCGGAATGTTGCAACAAAATTGGAAACAATAAATTTATTCATTATTTGTCGCGGACAACTGCAACAATGCATTGTAAAAAACATAAAAAATAATTTTTTATTTAAACTATTGTTGCGGAAAGTTGCAACAAATTTGAAAACAATAAATTTATTGTTTGTTTGTTGCGGCCTTCCGCGACAAATTGGACAAATTAATCATTGTAACAAAGATTGTCGCGGAAGTCCGCGACAATTAATTTATATATAATTTTTATTAAATATTTGATAGAAGTTATGACAATATATTATTCTACAACAAATTTTTCGTGACATTATCATTATTTTCTAGTAGTGAATTACAAGCAAGAGAATATGAAAACTATATATCAACAAAATATTTTGACTACACGGATAAAGTAAATAACAGTAGAACAATGCTTTCTAAAATCATGTGACGCCCAATGATGTCGGGTATCATCTTACACTGATGGATGAAACTCCTTTTGAAGATCTTTCTCTTTATTGTTAGTTTGTCGGAACCTTGAGTTATTTGACAGTCACTCGTCTTATCATTGCCTATATTGTTCCTTTAATTAGCAAGTTTATGGATACATCTCGTATTGTTTAGTACTCTGTTGTTCTACGTATTGTCAATAACATTAAAAAAACATTATATATGTATTACACTTCTTAACTCGATCGACCTTAACTATCTGTAATTACTTTGATGCTAATTGAGCAGAAAATTCTACTGATAGTCGCTCCACTTTTGGTTTTTGTTAATTCTTGTTAATTCTCTTATTTTCAGTATAGTTAAAAGCAAACATGTGTGTCTCAATCTAACATTAAATCAGAATATTATATCATTGTTGATGCTACTTCGGAGCTCTCGTGGGTTTGTTGGCTACTTATTGACTATGAGGTACTTCAATTATCTCCTATTAATCTGTATTGCGACAATAAGAGTACGATCTATATTTCTCATATTTTATATTTTTCAAGAGTGTGTTGTAATTAAAATTTAGGAGAAAGTATATAGATTGATCGACAAAGGCTGGAAGAAAAAATGATTCACTGACATACTTCAAGAATAACATGATACAATATATAGAATAGAATACTCAATTAAGATCCACAAAATCAGGAATATATTTGATCACTACTTCACTACCAGTAAAGTCACTAAAATAGCAGTAGACTTATTCAAAATCATAATTATCTATCAACACCCCCCCCCTCCCCCCTTAATTATGATTTGGGAAGATTTCTACTCCAAGGGCATCTCTGAGTTTAGTAAATGCTTCAATCTTTAACGGCTTGGTGAATATATCAGCAATTTGATCTCCGGATTTGCAATACTTCAGCTTAACTTTTTTCTTTTCAACCTGGTTCCTCAAGCAATGATAGCGCAGCTCGATATGCTTTGTTCTCCCGTGCGTAACTGGGTTCTTGGCTAAATTTATTGTTGAGATGTTATCCACATATATTTTCAACGGCATTGCTGATAAAAACTTGACATGGCTCATAACATATTGTAGTCATAATCCTTGACGAGTTGCAAAAGCTGCTGCAACATACTCAGCTTCACATGTTGAGAGTGCAACAATCTCTTGCCTTTTTTAAGACCACACACATGCAGTACCATTAATAATGAAGCAGTGACCACTTGTGCTTTTCCAATCATCCAGGTCACTGGCCCAATCACTATCTGAGTAACCAATCAGCTCACCTTTGTTGCTTGAGGAATAAAACAAGCCATAATTATAAGTTCCCTTGATATATCGCATAATCCTTTTAACAACTTGAAAGTGAGATTGTCTAGGATGTTCCATGAACCGACTAACCAAGCCAACAGCAAAGCATATATCGGGGCGAGTACAAATAAGATACCGTAGATTCCCACAATCTGCATAAAGTATTTAGAGTCTACAGCATGGTCATCACCTTCCCTAGACAATCTGGTGCCCGTCTCAATGGGAGTTTTGGCAGGATTAAAATCAAGCATCTGGAACTTTTCCAAGAACGTAGTAGCGTACCTTTGTTGGTTGATAAAAATCCCCTTTTCAATCTGAGTTACTTCTAGACCCAAAAAGTAAGACATGAGACCAAGGTCAGTTATTTCAAATTCTGTCATCATCGAAGTCTTGAAATCTTCAATATCACGAAGGTTGCTACCTGTGAAAACTAAATCATCAACATAGAGACACAATATGAGTATGTCATTGTTAGAGTTAATTTTCACATAAAGACCATATTCAGCTGGGCATTTTTCAAATACAACATTAATAAGGAAACCATCAATACGCTTGTTCCAGGCACGCGGTGCTTGTTTAAGGCCGTATAGGGCCTTGTTGAGCTTATAGACTTTATCTTCTCCATCCTCCTGCAGGAATCCAAGAGGCTGCTTAACATTACTTTCTCTTCAAGTGGTCCATTCAAGAAAGCCGACTTAACATCCATTTGGTGAACTTTCCACTGATTTTGAGCAACTAAAGCAACGATAATTCTCACTGTCTCAATTCGTGCAACGGGAGCAAAAATTTCTTGATAGTCACAACCGAGCCTTTGTTCAAAACCCTTCGCCACAAGTCTTGCTTTATACCTTTCTACCTGTCCACTTGATAACATTTTTGTTTTATACACCCACTTAATATCAATAGCTTTCTGCCACTCTGGAAGATGAGTGAGATTCCATGTTTTATTCTTTCTATTGTCATAATTTCTTCTTTCATAGCATGTGTCCACTTGGGATCTTTTGCAGCTTCTTCAAATGTCATTGGCTCAGCATCTACAAGAAATGCAAAGTTTACCAGTTCATCAACTTCATCATCATGTGTCACTTCATAGTCTTGCAAATATGCCGGTGGTCGGCGCTTCCTCCTAGGCCTCTATGCCTGTATAGGCTCATTTATGAGAATTTCAGTTGGTACTGGTTGTGTCACCGAGGCTTCAATTGTACCATTGCCATCTTGAGTTCCATTATCTACTTCCAAGTCACAGATAACATGTTTCATAGAACCACCATGTGTCTTAGTGTTCCAATTCCAAGTCTCGTCTTCAGCAAAGACCACATCTCGACTCACAATTACTTTCTTTGTGGTGGGATTAAACAGTTTGTAGCCACCTTGCTTGTAACCAATAAGAATTGTTTTCTCAGCTCGATCATCTAACTTCGTTCTTTTTGTTGCTAGAACATGAGTATAGGCCACTGATCCAAACACTCTAAAATGATTTACACTTGGTTTGAATCCACTCCAAGCTTCAGTTGGTGTCATAGCAGGACCACCTCTTGTAGAAGACCTATTTAGCAAATACACATAACATGATACAGCCTCTCCCCAAAAGTAATTAGGCGTACCTTTAGTCTTTAGCATACTCCTTGCCATATCCATTATTGTCCGATATTTCCTCTCCGCCACTCCATTGTGTTGTGGAGTATAAGAAAATGTCGTTTCATGGCGTATTCCATGTTCATCACAATAACGGTTGAACTCAGTGGATATGTATTCTCCTCCACC